TTATCAAAAAGTAATCAAGAACTGTAATCAAGCTGTAAGAGAAAATTCCAATTAGTAGAGAAATTAATTTGAAAATTACCTTGGCGTTTCGATAGCTATTTTCTGCTATCGAGTTTTTAATCAAGGAAGTTTTTAATCAAGGAAGTCATTATATATCACCACCATTTCTACCATCATCACCATTCTGCATTTTTAATCAAAAATTTAAAAAGTAACATGTTCCTGTTGGAACCGCTTTTTGAAACCTATTACCAAAGGAACTGGAACGTTGGAACCCGTTCCAGAAAAATAACCGTATATCACACTTCCACAGCAAGTGTATAAAATTGATGCTTACCTGCACTACCAGTAGATGAGTTTTGACAAACCGACTTCGTGCCAATTTGCCCCTCATCGACGAGTGAAAGGCCATGACTTGCGGACAATGTCTGTCCCATTTGAATGTGTTCTTCTCCAGACTTTCCAAGTCGCTCACCATGCGAAGATCGAAGGTTTTTTCAATGTTTTCGGTCACCTCTTTGATGTCACTGAAACCATCAGAATCGCAAGAACGGGAAATATTGCGTCTTTCCGCGCCTTTCTTTACCTCACTTTAATGCAATTCACCCAACAGGTCACCGGACTATGTTTGGCCTGCTCAGTGACTCTTTCGTCTTTCAAATGGGCGGGCAGAAGCTCGTCCAATGAGAGCGCATTGTGTTTGATTCTGCAACAGAAAGGAACGAATCATTCTGGTTGGCGCACAAAAAAGTAGCTTTTTTCCCACCTTAGTCTAGCTACGGCAGCAGCTAATCGAACTCGTTGGGACCAGAGAGCGTTTTCCGCATAGGAAAGGCCGACGGAATCGAAAAGTTTCGCAGTCTGGGCCATCACTTTGGTTTCTCTTTTGTTGAAGCTGCGATGGTACAAGTCGAAGAACAGCAGCCATACATGATGAATTGAATGTTCCAACTGAAACACGTTAATGATTTTTTTCACTATCAAGCTTCTTGCAATTGAAGCTCGGAAATGTTTTTTGAGCTTTTCTATTCATAGTTGTCCACTTTATCCATCACGCAATGCTGATTGTTCCATCAAAGCGATTTATTTGGCATTTATTTCGTGTCGTTGCATGTTGAGCCCGACACTCGCGATAAAGTAAAACGTCGGGCAAAATCAATTTTGCAAAGGCAAAAAAGCGGGAATGTTGATGATGTTGCGCAAAAATGCCGCCACACGACAATGTTTAGTTTAATAGAAATCAAGAAGTTGCAGAATTGCGAACAGTATGGCTTGTTTATGAGGCCTGAGTAACTCAGTTAATTTTTAGGAGTTGGCGCAGTGTCGCGCAGTAACTCTCGCGAAACCTGTATTTGCATGGTTTTTGATTTATTTTCTTCTCTTTTTCTATTCTATTTCTTTCTTCTTCTTTTCTTCAGTTTCTTCAACATTTCAGAATTTTCCAGTTTTAGCAAAGCTACTCTTTCTTTTAAACGCTCAATTGTCTAAAGTTTTACTTTAAAATTCCGATAATCTTAAGGTATTTTCAGCAAAAAATTGCAAATAAATTTCATTAGAACACTCGCCTCCTTCGTCGCTTTGTGAACAGTTTCGAAATCCCTTTCCAGCTGCGGATTGGGGACAAAAACAAGAACAGATCAAGCGAAAATTTATAAGAAATTATTTGGAAAACTCCTCACCCTCATCCCTCTGCAGACTATAAAGTTTGTTAAAAAACTGCGTTTTTTTAGGTTTGACTGAATTTTTTTCTTGCATCGCTTTCTACTCAAAAACCCTATATTTTGAAGCGTTTCACCTAAAAATACTGACAATCCGTCAGTGTTTTACTCAAAAAGTTACAAGATCAATTTATAGCTTTGTAGAAATTTTACAAAAACTTTTTCAGCGTCGAATTCGGGTAAAAACGAAAATACATTAAGACTGTTTTTACCGGAAAATCATTAAGGTTTTCTCAAAAACCGATCACAAAACTATGAATTTTTATATAAATCGTAAAAGCCCATTATTTTCTGATGCTTTTCTTCTTTTCCGAAAATCATGGGGTCTTTTTAGTGGGTTCGCCGGGAGTTTTAGAAAACTCTTTTCGGCTTCGAAGTTGGTACGAAAATCAAAGAATTTTATTCAGTAATTTAGCGAAAGAAATTAAGATTATCTTGGAAAAACGACCAGAGAGCAAAAGTGTACAAAAAATTATCTGGAAAATTCGTCACCCTCTCATCGCTGTGAAGATTTTTTAAATTTCTTTAAAATTTCCGGTTTTCCCAGTTTTAG